AAATATTTATTATGCTATTACTCTGTAAATTATATTCCTTGTAATATACATATATCTGATTCAATATTTACATAGTATAAAATGAAGTCGCTTTATCTGTTCGTTTGAATCTTTTAAACTACGCAACGGATTTTAATGCAGTTTTTAGTAATGGATAGAGTGATTCATGAGGAAGGTTTATACGAAATGTATGTAAAGATAAAGAAACTAATCTTATTAATATTATAAACGCTAAAGTTTATGAGTTCATGAGTATGGATGTTTGTTATTCTTTCACGCAAAAACTACTGAACGGATTTTGTTGAATATTTACAATAATATAGCTTATAAATCAGAATAATACATAGGCTATAAATTTCATTCACCACTAGTTTTATATACAATAAAATTCTCGTATCATATTGTTAGATAACATACTCCTCCGTAACGGCTTGATCGATTTTTATGAAATTTTATATATTCATACCCCAAAAAAATGATAAGGGTTGTCCATCCCTAATTTTTTTTTATTTTTAAGACAATTCTTTTATTTTTTGGTATTAAAGAATACATACAACCCTAAATTGTCACCCTTCTATCACCAACCCCTATTTTTAATAGCGATTTCAATTTATATAACAAAATAACGTATGCGGGATCAGCTAATGAATATATAACCTTATAATACAATATAGTATTAATAAACAAATTTATATCTAATAAAAATAAAAACTATCGACAAATACTTATATCGACACGTGCACCTCACTATCTATTTTGGCGAATCTCTCACTTGCATTAATATTTATAAACAGCTTGGCGAACATTAATTGGATTGGTTTAAGTGATTGCGTTGTTTGGTTTGCTGATTTTTACTGATTATGATGATTGAATCATTGCCGCCCTCTGTGGTTGCAGTCTATATATACTGTTTTACTCCTAATGATCGCACGTTCAACTCTTGTATTTTATATTGTATTTGAGTATGATTGTTTGTATCTATTTGTTTTCTATGTATATTATGTTATTTTAAATAAAAATGTGTTTGAGTATTTGTATTTATTGTCTAGTACAATAATATAATATAATAATAATAATCTTAGGACAATTCACACAGCGCCGTCTAGACCCAAGTTAAGCTAGCTAAAGCTTGTGTTATGGGTACTAGATAACTGATACAAATACATAGATATTTTTTTGTTTTTTGTAAATACATACATATTATATATAGAAAACACCCAGACCGATACAAACAATCATACTCATGAATACAAATGTTTGTGCCGTGCGAGGAATCGAACCCGCGACCATCGGTCGTAAAGCGGTGTACTAGACCGCTGGACCACCGAGGTCGTCAAATAATAACGGCTTCGGTGGTCTAGCGGTTTAGCAAACCGTTTTCTGGGTCGCGGGTTCGAGTCCTCGCACGGTGAAAACATTTGTATTCATGGGTATGATTGTTTACATCGTTCTGAGTATTTTCTATGAATTTACAAAAAAATCTAAGTATTGCATCTTGTATAGCAATTGTCTAGTAACTATAACACAAGCTCTGCTTACCGTGGGACTAGATGGCGCTGTGTAAATTGTCCAGGGCTATATGTACGAGTATATTTATTATTTACTAGCTGCACCCGCGAGTTCGTACGCGAGGAATTTAACTTTATTTTTGTAAAATGAAAGATTTTCTCTAAAGTAAAAGTAGCATTGTTATATCGTGTAGTTAAAATGCCTTGTCTCTTCTGGTTGTATTTATAATAATAAGACTTCAATGTAGAAGGATAAATGCTTTTTATTATATCTATAATGTGAACAGTACAGTACGGCTTGACAGCTAGGACGGAAGAGCGAGCGGACAGACATGCGTCGCTAGAGATGTGCCACAATAGTGATGTACCACCTAACAAGCATAAGTTACTCCTTATTACATCAGCTACCTGTCAATAAAAGTCCCATCAAAATCTGTCTAGCTATTTCAGAAATTAGCCGGAACAAACAGACCGACACACAGACAAACAAAAATTGTAAAAAATGTTATTTTGATGAATGTACCTTATTTATATTCATGTGCATGTAGTAAAAAACGGTATTTCAATATTACAAACATACAGTCCAATTTTATTTATATGTATAGATTTATTACACAAGATCTGGTCAGCTTGGGACTAGAACTAAACTGCGATAATTATATATATATATATATATTACCTTTTGCATTAGCTATATGAAATAAAAATAAATTAATTAATAAAACATATAATAAATATCACTCGACATCATATAAACCTACTTACATAAAAGAGGTAGTAAAGAAATTTTCCGGAAAATCAAACCTACGACCCTTGCACCCTCCGAAAGATGGGTAATCTACAGTTAATAATAATAAATCCGCCCGCCCCTCTTATCTCGCGATACATCCCCCGGGGGTAGTTATCAAATTATGAACCATTTCTGGGTTTATTAAATCCAGGGGTTGTAATAGGGGTTGGTTTAGTTTGTTTAAGGAACAGAGATTTAAGGGGATTGTTGCGTACTTAATATAATAGATTATATGTATTACTAGCTTTTGCCCGCGGCTTCGCTCGCGTTAATTTATCCCCTAGGGGTGGAATTTATCAAAATCCTTTCTTAAGGGATGCCTACGTCATAGTAGCTTTATGCGTGCAAAATCTCAGCAACCGGTTTAAAATTTACAAAGTTTCATACAAACTTTCATTCCCTATTTTATCCCCTTGGGGGTAGAATTAATCAAAATCCTTTCTTAGCGGACGCCTACGTCATAACATCTACCTGCATGCCAAATTTCAGCCCGATCCGTCCAGTGGTTTGGGCTGTGCGTTGATAGATCACTATGTCAGTCACCTTTGAGTTATATATATTTAAATTTTCAAATCTTATTATTATTATAAACGCGAAAGTTTGTGAGTATAGATGGATGGATGTTTGTTAGTCTGTCACGTAATAACTACTGAAGAATTTTGATGAAACTTTACAGTAATATATTTTATAAGTACCTATCATTGACGACCTCGGTGGTCTAGCGGTCTGGTGTGCCAGACCGCTAGACCGCTTTACGTCCGATGGTCGCGGGTTCGATTCCTCGCACGGCACAAACATTTGTATTCATGAGTATGATTGTTTGTATCGGTCTGGGTATTTTCTATGTATAATATGTATTTACGAAAAAAATGATCTATGTATTTGTATCAGTTGTCTAGTGCCCATAACACAAGCTTCAGCTAGCTTAACTTGGGTCTAGATGGCGCTGTGTGATTTGTCCTGAGATTATTATTATTACTATTTAATATTATTATTTATTATATATTATAATATTCTCAATATTATCATACATCAGAATAACACATCTTTACTTCATTACATAGTATAAAACTAAGTCGCTGTTACTTTCTGTCTGTCCCTATGTATGCTTAAATCTTTAAAACTACGCAACGGATTTTGAAGTGATTTTTTTAATAGATAGAGTGATTCAACAGGAAGGTTTATATGTATAATACGTACACCCGTGCGAAGCCGGGGCGAGTAGCTAGTAATATTATAAATTCGAAAGTAACTCTGTCTGTCTCACTTTCACGCCAAAACTACTGAACCACTTTAAATGAAATTTAGTACACAGATAGTCTAGACCCTGAGAAAGAACATAGGCTACTTTTTATCGCGAAAAAAGGGTTAAAAGGGGCGATGAAACTTTGTATGAAAAATCATCATTTTTGAATCTAGAACGATGATTTTTTATTTGTGTGTTATGTAATATTTATTTGGTCATGGTCACTATAACATGCAGACCAAGTCGCTGGCAAAGCTAGTACTTACACAATAAAACGACCAATGAAAAGTCATTCATTCACACACACACAAACTTAATCCTCATTTCAAAACGCGCAAATTCAGTCATTATCCTATAACATATGTATTTAAAATTTAATTATATAAATAAACCTTTATATATAAAAATCACGTGTCACATTATTTGTCCGCGATGGACTCCTAAACTACTGAACCGATTGCAAATTTGATTTGCACATTGTGAGCAATTTGATCCAACTTGAAAGATAGGATAGCTTACATCTCAATTTATAGTCGCAGTATTATTTTATTCAAGAACCTTAGCCACAGCAACGCGTGGCCGGTTCTGCTAGTATTATATAATAAATTAGAAACATTTTTCAGAAGCTATAAAAAAATTGTCTTAATTAAATAAATATTTTTTTTAAAACATAGGAGACAAACGAGCATGCGGCTCACCTGATGGTAAGTGATTACCGCCACCCATGAGCACCCGCAACACCAGGGGAATTGCAAGTACGTTGTCGGCCTTTTAAAAAGGAATAAGCTCTTTTCTTGAAGGTTTCAATATCGTATCGGTTCGGAAATACCATTGCTGGAAGGTAATTCCACAATGTGGTTGTGCGTAATATTTGCGTAATAATTTTGAATCTATCAATGTAGCAGTACCTAGAGGTAGAGATGTGTCAACTCGAGTTGTGGTGAATTCGAGTTAACTCGAGTTGAATTCTGCCAACTCGAGTTGGAAGTATTCAACTGGTAAATGAATGAATGAAGTGAAAGAGCGAAAACATGAGTCTGTCGTCGAAACGACAATGACATGAAATTATCCAATCATTTCATATCATAGAATTTTCACACGTTTTCAATATTGATTTGTTATCGTTATTTTTCGCATATTCGTTCGGTTATGTTTTCATTAAAATGATTATGCGTTCCATATGTCCTTCCGCGGCTTTGAAGTGCCATTTCTACTCTCCCCCTATGGTTCGGTGAAGCTTTCAAGGCTAGCTGCGGCCAAAAACATTAGATTCGTTCGAAAAATTAAAAAAAAAACTCGAGTCTACTTGAGTTAACTCGAGTTACTTGAATTTCAACTCGAGTTATGTTTATTACGAATTAGCACATCTCTACCTAGAGGAACGATTGTTAGAATCTTTGCCTGTGCAATAATATTAGAAACAAAATATATTGAGTATACTGCAGAATGTACTCACCGGAACTGGGACGGTCACTGTATCGTGTACAGTAGACCCACGCCGGCCACACCATGGGACCGTCACCACTCGTGGACCCTGGAACATACAACAAGGCTGTTAGCAACCATATATGTTTATTTACAACATATCTACTTATAAATATATGCGGCGAAAAATAACTACATAGAACAAAATTGCGATCGCTGTCTGTCCGTCCCTATGTATGCTTAAATCTTTAAAACTACACAACTGATTTTGAAGAGGTTTTTTTAATAGATAGAGTGATTCATGAGGAAGGTTTGTATATATAATACATGTATACCCGTGCAAAGCCGAGGCGAGTAGCTAGTAGAAGAATAGAATAGAAAATCATTTATACAAATAAACTTACATTGAAGCACTTTTGAATAGTCATAACATTTTTTTAATCTACTGTTTATTCGGAAAGCTGTCTCATCACAAGAAGAACGAGCAAGAAAATCGCGTGTTGCTCTTTTAAATAATTTTATTATTACTTACATTTTTAAGTTTAAGTGTGGGAATATAAACTACCAATTAGCACTAATTCAATTAAATACTCAAATAGTGAAAATATTAAATTACAACCAACTGGTTGAGCAACTAAATAAGAGTAAATTAATCGTAGTGATTAGAGCAGAACTGATACAAATAGGTACATATATATTTTTTTTTCGTAAATACAATTCATACACATGATACATAGAAAACACACAGACCCATACAAACAATCGTACTCATGAATACAAATTTAACAATGCGAGAAATCGAATCCGCGACCATAGGAAAATAAAGCCATAAACTAAACCACTAGACCTCCGAAGTTATCAAGAAAATGTCGTATGATTATGTATGTATTTAAGTAATGATATAATATAAACATATTTAAATATTTCTATAAGCTGTCTAGTACCTATAAGACAAGCTCCGAGTATTTTGGAACTAGATGGCACTGTGTGAATTGTCTTGGATTACAATTATTATTGTTCAAATGGAAACAAAGCAACAGTAATGAGCTGATAATGCTATGACATATAATTATGTATAATTGATCATTCGTGTCGATTGTTAATAAATTAATCAAAGAACACGCTGACAGCTGTATAATGAATTACTCTCGACTATTTTTTTTCCGGACTACTCTAATGCTGTCGGCCGCAGCTGGCCTTTATAGCTTCACCGGACGATAGGGAGCGAGTGCAGATGACACTCCGAACCAAAGGAAGGACTTATGGAGCGGCTGATAGCGAACTCCTGCCTGACAGATACGACTTTAGACCGAGGGCGCCGCTAGAGGTTGAACCTCGGTTTAGGCCGTCGTAATTTTGATCTCTGTTTGAATTGAACGAAGAATTGATCGAAGGAGAACCTGCCGAAAGGGAGCCTGAGGTCTTGGTAATCTGGATAACACAGACAGAGACTTTAAACAATTTAAATTTAATAAAATTCACTACATAACGACTTAACGGATATTGATGAAATTCGATATAAATATTGAATGTATCACTAGAATGAACATGTTAAGTCATGTTATTTATTATTTTAGAAATAGACATCAAAGGAAGAACTTGACATAATGCACCTACCCCAAATAATGGGATAAAGGAAAAGCAATGATGACTTTGTACTTACATAATCATTTAATTAGCATATAACAAGTGCATGTTTTTTTTTATTATATCACAAGTCATGAGCACCCGCAACACCAGGGGAATTGCAAGTACGTTGTCGGCCTTTTAAAAAGGAATAAGCTCTTAACTTGAAGGTTTCAATATCGTATCGGTTCGGAAATACCATTGCTGGAAGGTGATTCCACAATGTGGTTGTGCGAGGCAAAAAGTTTCTAGAAAACCGTACTGTGGAAGACCGCCATTCATCCAGATGATCAGGAAGGTATTTCAGTTTCTGGCGTGTGGTACGGTGGTAAAACTCAGCAGCTGGTATTAATCCGACCAATAAAATGTATGGTATTTATATATTTATAAGACAATATTTCACTACCGTTGACCGCGATGGGATAGTCATTATAAATTTAAATTTAAAACTCACCGGATCCAGACCCTTGGTTACTGCCGCCATCTTCTGCTTTAGACAGATCAATAGCACCTCCTTTTTCAGTAGGCTTCACTTCAGGCACTCTAGCCTCCATAACATCAGGTTTAGCAGTCACAACCTCCTTCACAGGAACAGGTTTCGTTTCATACTGCCGCACCTTCAAATTCTTCCTCTTATTTAACGGATCCGTTATTCTCCTCCCGAAGTCAGCCTTCAAAATATTATCTATACTAAATTTCAGACAACTCTGATTGATAAAATCCCTAGCAGACTCGTTTTCTGGTGACTTTGGGCTCATGTAATTTAATCTCCTATTTTCGTCGGTCCTAGTATTTCTCAATTCTTGCGTTTGATTCCCATTTTTTCTGGCACCGAAATTCAAGCCATAATTAACACTTATATTGTTCTGCGGTATTGGCATTCTCAATCCAGATTTCATATCGACCTGACTGATCAAAGGATTCTGGAACAGCAATGGTTGGTTTAAGAACATGAGTGGATTTGGCGTTATAGGACTCGGTCGGAGTAGCAATGGTTGATTCATGTTTAAATTTTGACTTAACTGCGATATTGCATTTAGATGCGTTTGTATATGTTTAAACGACGTTAGACTTTGTGTTGAATCTTGACATTTTTCTGTTTGGTCAAAGTTTGAAACTGGTGCCTCATTACCGACTGATAGTACAGTATCATCGCTACAACATGAGTTGTCATCTACACTGATTTCCGCTCTCGATTCGTTCGTTTGATTTTCATCGTCATCCAACTGTGGACTGACACTCTCGGAGTTTCTAGAACTTTCCACGGTATCGTCGTAATTGGGTGTATTCTGCAGTAGTTTCTCTGTCGAGAATACATTTTCTGGGCTATTGGTGTCTCGTTCCTTTTTTAAAACGTTGTGAATGGAAAAGGAGGATGTGTGAATTGGTCTTTCATCGTGTTTTTCCTCCTCGTGGTATTCAGGGCTATTGGTATCTCTTGTGTTAGGGGAATAAGGTTCATCGTCGCTATGGTCCTGCACTTTTATCCTCGAATCTTGAAGGTGAACCGTAGTTGATACAGCTGCCATTTTAGATGTCTCCCATTACGCCATCTGTCGAAAAAATACGATCTTTTTAATGTTACAAATATTATCAATGCGGAAACTTCTAAAATCGTTCAATATTTGATGCTTGCATCTTTAGACGTTTGTTTTAAAGTTGCAAAGATCATTATTGTTTAAAAGAACAACAGTGAAGTTTTCTGCCTCTTCTTTTTCGTCTAAACGTATATTTCGTACATTACCACATTTGGTAAGTAAATACCAAATGATATACTCATTAACTACGTTTTTCAGAGGGGTGACCTAATGGAGGTCGATATGACGTGGTATATTGTTAAAATAACCACGTAACTAACAATTCTATCCCCCTTTCACCCTCACAGAAGAATATGAAGATACCAATGTCAGTGTCGACTCGTTTCTCGATGGTAAAATCCTAAATAATATGAATTGCATAGTTTTAAATTAGGCGCGGTCATTATTTATAATTATAATTTGGAAAAATCATTTGATCTTGAAGTACGTGAAGATCCTATGAGTATAGTTAGCCGAGATAACTGTCGAGGGAGTCTCAATAGTAGCAACAAACGAAACCGTGTGAAGGTAGACGAATATGTCTGGCCATAAAAGGTTTTATTTACCATCTATCCGCTGCTTTTCAGTTTACCCGTGATCATGGCGGTTGAAATTAGGGTTGCCAACCATTCTTTATAATATAACCTACTTTATATTTGGTCATTATACTTTACACTTTTACATAAAGTCTGCAAAAATACTTTATTTTCAACCTTTCCTGTGACCAATTGTGAGTTGACATTTGAAATAAATTTATAATGCAAAAAAAAAAATGAAAAATACTTTTTTTCCTAATACTTTGAAAAATACATTTTTCCTAACCAAACCAGTTTATCGGTACTTTTTTTTTGTAAAAAAAAGTTGGCAACCCTAGTTGAAACACTGCTGAAATATCGGGAACTCAATAAAAATAAGAAAAAAGAAAATCCCGTCGTATCTTCTAATTGTACATTTAATAGCATAGTAATAGTGATATTACTGTGGGCTGTGGAGCCTAAGATGAGTTTTGATGCTCTCAAAATAGTAAAAGAAAACGCTATAAAAAAATACTACACATAATACATAAATAAACGCTATCCCAATTAATCCAAGCGACGCCGAGTACTGTAACTAGTGAGATAAGCAACAAACAACACGTAGAGGAATTGCTAAATCGTGAGTTTACAATAAAACCATTCAATTTTGCTACACTTACCATGTACACGTTTACTCAAATTATAACCTCAAAACCAACGTATTAAAGTCGAAAATCTTTAAACACACGCTTGAGAACCATCTTTAAAATCATTAAGGTGGAGAATGCAGTATGAATAGTTCTTATTTCGAAGCGGTAAAGTATGTTTTTGAATGTGTGATAGTGTTTTAAAAGTTAGGTTAGGTTGTTGAGCCGGCGACGTGTGTGGTCCGCATTGCATTGGAGGGAAAATGGTTTTACGCAATATTTTTGTTTATTTTCATATTATTATTTTGTTTAGTGAGAAATAGAGTAAGTAATATTGCGTTTTATTATACCATTCGTTGTATACTTGAATAAACAGAAAGTCAATACTATATCTATACATATAAATAAAATTGGAGTGTCTGTTTGTGATATTGAAATAACCGTTTTTTACTACATGCATATGAATATAAATACGGTACATACACCAAAATAACATTGTTTACAATTTTTGTCTATCTGACTGTCTGTTTGTTCCGGCTAATCTCTGAAATAGCTGGACCGATTTTGATGAGACTTTTATTGGCAGGTAGCTGATGTAATAAGGAGTACTACTTTTATTGTAGAAAAATTCTTTTATTAAAAAAAGTTAAATTCCACGTAGACGAAATCGCTAGCTGTACACTAGTTAGAAATATGAAAATAAACTGCGAGTCCAGTACTATAATCTGTTTTATATGAAAATAATAGATGAAATAATCGAGTGAAATTCTTTTTCGGACTACTCTAATGCTGTTGGCCGCAGCTGCTCTTTACAGCTTCACCGGACGATAGGGGGCGAGTGCAGATGACACTCCAAACCAAAGGAAGGACTTATGGAGCGGCTGAAGGACAACTCCCGCCTGACGGATACGACTTTAGTCTGAGGGCATCGTTGGGGAGTCGTACCTCGGCTCAGGCGTAATTTCGATCCCCGTTTGTATTGGACAGGGGATCTATCGGAGCAACCATTTTTCTTTTTTTATATTTAATCAACGGAAAAAAATACCATACTTTCATAGAACCTTACATCTTCCCTTTACACTCTACAACCCTTTTTTCGCTTTAAAAAGTAACCAACAACCTTTCATCTACCCTTCGATAGAATAGAATAGAAAATCATTTATTCAAATAAACTTACATTGAAGCAATTTTGAATAGTCATAACATTTTTTTTTAATCTACCGAACATTCGGAATGCTGTCTCATCACAAGAAGAACAAGCAAGAAACTTGTGTGTTGCTCTTTTAAATAATTTATTCTTACTTACAATTTAAGTTTAAGTGTGTGAATACAAACCACCGATTAGCACTAATTCAATGAAATACTCAAATAGAAAAAATATTGAATAAATAACCAACTGGTTAAACAATTAATAAGAGAAAATAAGTCACAGTGATTAGAGCAGACCAGTCCACACAAGCAGCACCCGTTCACGAGTATGTCGGATGAGCCAGCCACCACTGCGCTCGACCATATTTTAGGGAGCCCAATGACCCGGCCCACCACGCCGCCACAAGTCTGGACATTTTAGTGAGCATGACTACTCAAAACACCAGACCACGTCATAGCTACTCACAATTGCCATCTGATGGTTATAGTAAGCCGTAACAACAATTTCACGGTGTTTTATTTCAACATAATAATGCGACAGCGAGATCAAGAGTTTGTAAAACAAAGCACTGGATAATTATGTATTTACTTAGATAATATCATCTTGTATGCATTTTTAAATGCTTTATTTTTGGTTAAAAACTGCCATTTTAAACTGTAGTTAAGGAAGAAATAATAATAACCCTGAATTTTTCACAGCGCCATCTAGTCCCTGTTATGGGTACTAGACAACTGATATAAATACTTAATAAATAATATATATATATAACTAGCTACTCATCCCGGCTTCGCATGAGTGTACATGTATTATATATATAAACCTTCCTCTTGAATCACTCTATCTATTAAAATAAACCGCTTCGAAAACTGTTGCGTAGTTTACATAGGGACGGACAGACAGCGACAGCGACTTTGTTTTATACTATGTAATGATGATATACATAGAAAACACCCAGCCCAGTACAAACAATCATACTTATGAATACAAATCTTAATACCATGTAAGGAATCGAACCCGCAACCATATGTAGTAAATAAATAACCATGGACAATTAACACAGCGCTATCTAGTCCCACGGTAAGCAGAGCTTGTGTTATTGGCACTAGATTACTGATAACAAATACATACAAACTTTTTTTTGTAAATATATACATAATATACATAGAAAACACCCAGACCGATACAAACAATCGTACTCATAAATACAAGTATTTTACCGTAAGGAATCGAACCCGCGACCATCGGAAATAAGGCGGTGTGCCAAACCAGTTTATTTAACAGTTACAGATTTTCTCCAAAAAGTGGCAACCCTGAATATTTACGGTACAATTAAACCCTAATAAGGCTACTCGCACAAACATAAAATCACACAAAAAATTTAAACTTTTTGTATATGGCAATTATGCAATAGACGGTGCAGTGAGAACTGAACTCAAACGTCATAAGTTGACAGTTATTTTTTATTAGTCGTCGCACAGTGGCTGTGATAGCGGGTAGCGGAGCGGAAACCGCTACCCGCTCCGCTGTATTACCGTTTTGCTGGAATCCAGTCATGTCAAAGATACGGCCCACGGGTCGCATCCAGCCATTGAGCTATATCAATGAGGCCCGCAATCGCAATGTGATTTTTAACGACCGTGTATCTTAGTAACATTATAACTGCGAAAGTTTGTGAGCGTGGATGGATGTTTGTTACTATTTATCGCAAAAACTACTGTACGAATTTTGATGAAACTTTACAGTAACATAGCTTATACATCAGAATAACACAGGCTGTAATTAAAAAGATATTATGTAAATTGGGCGATGTATAAGTGTCATGCAGACGAAGTCGCGCGGGTCAGCTAGTACTATATAATCAAATAAATAAAATGTTATAATACGGTGTATAACGACCTCGGTGGTATAGCAGTTTAGCACACCGCCTTACTTCCAATGGTCGCGGGTTCGATTCCTCGCACGGCACAAACATTTGTATTCATGAGTATGATTTTTTGTATCGTATCTATTTCTATATATAATACGTACGTATTTACGAAAAATTGTATTTGTATCAGTTATCTAGTACTCATAACACAAGCTCTAGCTAACTTAACTTGGGCCTAGATGGCGCTGTGTGAATTGTCCTGAGATTATTATTATTGTATTATTAATAATTGAGTACACTTTTTTTTTAATTATTTCTAGTTATATATTTGTATTGAATATTTATGTATATATAAATTGTAAGTATATAAATATATTTAAATATATTTTTATATATTATTTACATGTACTTTGTATTTGTAGCTATATATCACATTTGACGTTAATTCTTTAGTTTTAATTTTTATTTTATCTTTTCTTAATTTTAATATTTGCATTTCTGTGACCCACACACCACTTCCTGTGTCACGCTGTTTTGTGTTGACTGGAAGAGATCTTTTTAGAGATAAGTCCTCCTTTGTAAACAAAAGTTATATAACATATATTCAAAACTTGTATTTAAAAGTGCAATAAAGTATATATTACATTTTATTTTATTTGAATTTGGCCCGCCTACTTCTAAATTTATATATGGCCCTAAAAATGCCCTATGTAAAATAGAGTTTGACACCTCTGTTATAATCAATACTAATATGTTGAATGCAAAAGTGTCTTCATGTCATCTTTCTGTTTATTATC